CCCCGCCAGTAGCGCGCAGCATGCCCACCGACTTTCAGTTCTATGTGACGCACTTGAGCGACTAGTGAGTCCCATCTAGTCGCGATCGCCCCCCTGATTCATGCGTGTGTGTGTTGCAGCTTCAGCATGGAGACCGACGAGGGCGAGTCCTCGAGCAGCGGCCCCATTTCCACCCTGAACAGTCTGTTCTCGTTCACGAGTCCGGCGGTGAAAAAGCTGCTGGGCTGGAAGCAGGGCGACGAGGAGGAGAAATGGGCGGAAAAGGCGGTTGACAGTCTGGTGAAGAAGCTGAAGAAGCGCAAGGGCGCCATTGAGGAGCTGGAGCGGGCGCTCAGCTGCCCGGGGCAGCCCAGCAAGTGCGTCACGATCCCGCGTAGCCTGGACGGGCGCCTACAGGTAGGCCTGGTCTGTCAGGGTGCACAGCTGTGGGTTAACGCGGGCCTGTTGTAGATCTCCCACCGGAAGGGGCTTCCGCATGTGATATACTGCCGRGTGTGGCGATGGCCGGACCTCCAAACGCACCACGAGCTCAAGCCGCTCGAGCACTGCCAGTTCGCGTTCACCTCCAAGCAGAAGGAGGTGTGCATCAACCCCTACCACTACAAGCGGGTGGAGAGCCCGGTGCTGCCCCCCGTGCTGGTGCCGCGCCACAACGACTTCGTGCCCGGCCACTCGCTGCTGCCCTTCCAGCAGCTGGTCGAGCCCAACATGCCGCACAACGTCAGCTACTCGGCGAGCGGCTTCAACGCCAACCACATGAGCCCGGGCTCGCCCATTTCGAGCGTGCCCAGCCCCGGCAGCGTGGCCTCGACCAATCCGCAGTCGCCCTACGCCAACCTGGCGGAGACCCCGCCCCCGGCCTACACGCCCACCGACGAGAACGCCGCCCCCGCCAACAACAACGCCAGTCCGGAGCCGGCGCTCGCTCAGGACGTGCATCCGGTGCCCTATCAGGACCAGCCCTTCTGGGCCTCGATCGCCTACTACGAGCTCAACAGTCGCGTCGGCGAGATCTTCCACTGCAACTCCACCTCGGTGATCGTGGACGGCTTCACCAATCCGAGCAACAACAGCGATCGCTTCTGTCTGGGGCAGCTGAGCAACGTCAACCGCAACAGCACCATTGAGAACACCCGTCGCCACATTGGAAAAGGTATGCGCTCAGAACTACTACAGTAGTGACAGTTGACGTGTCTAACCACCCCCCACTCTAATAGGAGTCCACCTGTACTACGTCAACGGCGAAGTTTACGCCGAATGCCTGTCGGACTCGGCCATCTTCGTGCAGTCGCGCAACTGCAACCACCACCACAACTTCCACCCCTCCACCGTCTGCAAGATCCCAGCAGGCTGCTCGCTGCGCATCTTCAACAACGCAGAGTTCGCGCATCTGCTGTCACAATGCGTCAATCACGGCTTCGAGGCCGTCTACGAGCTGACCAAAATGTGCACGATCCGCATGAGCTTCGTGAAGGTGGGCGGGGCCTGGCGCCGAACGCCACCTCCCACTGATCGGTGATTGGTTGTTTCAGGGGTGGGGCGCTGAGTACCATCGGCAAGACGTGACGAGCACGCCCTGCTGGATCGAGATCCACCTTAACGGCCCGCTGCAGTGGCTGGACAAGGTGCTGACCCAGATGGGCGCCCCCCACAACGCCATCAGCTCAGTGTCGTGAGCCGACGGCCCCCTTTCCATTTCGACACGTTTTTCTATCTAACTAAATATCCACTGTATATGACTATTACATAGGGCAGTTTTTATATTTACTTTGAGCAATGTTTAGTTTCATAGGGTAAGTTAGCTGTAGCGGACACGATCCACGATCTCTAATGAACAAGCGTGTGAATGATGATGATGATTCTGATGGTTTTTCTGGTGTTTCAGCCCGGAAATTGCCGATTTCCTGCTAACTGTTCCCCAGTCCCGTTCCCATCCGCTGGCGAGGCGCAAAAATGCGCCAATCGCTTCCGCATTGCGGCGCCCAAGCGCCTCAGGTGAGTACCACCGACTGCGCGCACTGAATAAAAGCGCCGCGCTAGAAAAACGGTTTATTTAATTAGGATTATGACTATGATTAGTTACTTAAAAATTCAGTGGCCGCCCGCCCAGCGGGGGGGGGCTAGACAACCTAAACCTAGTCTAGCGGATGGCGATCAGCCCGGCGCTGAGCAGCTTCTGGATCTTGGCGGCAATGTCGGGATTCTTCAGATGGTCCTGGACGGCGCGCGGGTCGTCCTGCATCTGCTCGAGGATCATGCGCATGGCGGGGTCGCGCAGGATCGCCTGCACCTCCGGGTCGCCCATGGCGCGCTGCCGGATCTTGTCCTGGTCGCCGTCCATGCTGGCGTTCTCGATGCGGCAGGAGCGGTAGCCCTGCAGCGCCTCCGCGTTGCTCGGGTCGATCTCCAGCGCCTTCTGGTAGGCGGCGATCGCCTTGCTGGCCTGCTGCATGCCCTGCAGGATCGTGCCCTTGCGGATCCAGCCCTTGATGAACTTCGGGTCGAGCTCCAAGCAGCGCTCGCAGTCCTTCAGGCCCAGGTCGAAGGCGGCCAGTTTCGTGTAGCACGCCGCCCTGTTGCTGTAGAGCTTCGCGTCCTGCGGATTGCGTCTGATCGCTTCTGTGTAGTGTTTCACGGCGGTCGCATAGTCGCCCTGCTTGAACAGCTCGTTGCCTGCAATTTGGCGATTAGAGGGGGCGCCTACTCGCCGTCTCCATCCAACTCACCTCGCTCCTTCTCCTGCTCGGCCAACTCGGGGTTGACGTAGGACTTGGTCTCCTCCTCGCGGATCAGCTTGTCCACCCCGGACAGCAGCGTGCGGATCTCGGGGGTGCGGTGCTCCGACATCGCCTTCTCGTAGTAGGTGCGCGCCGTCCGATAGTCTTTTTTCTTCTTGTAGGCGTTGCCGATGCGCGTCAGCGCCTTGGCGATCATCTTGAAGTCTGCGCGGTTCTCCCGGCCCACCTCCACGCCCTTCTCGCACTGCGCGATGCACTCGTCGAACGCCTTCTGCTCGAAGTAGACTGCGGCCAGGTTGTTGTAGTAGGTGATGTCGGTCGGATCGTGCTGCAGCGCCTTGGTGTAGTGCAGGATGGCGTCTGCAACCACACATTCACATCAACCGCCCCAGGGGGCGTGGCCTAAGCTCAGAAATTGAAACCAATCTGTTCCAGGTTAGAGGGGGCGTGGCTTGCAGCCCCCATGCGTGTGCCTGCCGAGGCATCGACTGGTACCGCAACTCACCCTCAAAGTCCTTGCGCTTGTAGCTGGCGTTGCCCAGCTCCTTCTCCGCCCTGGCCTGCTTGACGTTCTCCGGCAGCTCGGGCTCCGGCTGGGGTTGCGGTTGGGGCTCGGGCGGCGGCCCGCTGGGCTTGGGCGAGTCCATCGGCTCGTCCTGCGACGCTACAACATCGAACGGTGACATGCTAACCAAGTGCAGAGACGTGCAACATACCGGTGTCGGGCAGGCCTAACAGCACGGACATGGTGACGAGCATCCGGGGGTCCTGAGCGGCCCAGTTGGCCGCCAGCGGGTCGGTCTCCAGCTGGCTGACCATCTGCAGGTATGTGGGGTCGTCCATGAAGGGGGCGGTGCGCGGGTCGTTCCTCAGCTTGCCCAGCACATCGACGCCAGTGAACAGGTCGCCGAAGGGGGCCGTGAGCTTAGCGTTGGCCCGTTTCACCTCGGCCAGGCCTTCGCGCAGCTGCCGGTTCTCGGGGTCGAGCAGCAGCCCGCTCTCGTAGGCGTAGGACGCCTCGTGGCGCCGCCCCATGTAGGCCAGAGCGGCGGCTTTGCGCGAGTAGGCCTTCGGCCAGTCGGGGCGCAGCTCGATGGCCTTTTCCGCGTCCTGCAGCGAGCGCTCGTACAGGCCCGCTTTGGCATAGGCGGCCGACCGGTTCGAGTAGAGCACCGCATTCTTGTCGTCCAGCTCTAGGGCTTCGGAGTAGCACTTGATGGCCTCGTCTARATGGTTTTCKGCCAAGGCGGCGTTGCCGCGCTCTTTCAACGCTGCGACCTGCCAAACGTGCACGGTACAGAGAGTGGGGCTGCGCCCTTTAGCGCTTTAGTACTCACTTGATCCATTTCAGGCGTTTCGAGACTGGTTCGCACGTTTCGGTTCCAGAAGCTTCGAGTTTGTTGCGGGTTGGTGACATTGACGCAAAAGCGCGCGCTTGCCGCTCTGTGCCGGAAAAACCACCGGCCCCTGCCGGATGCCGCCGCAAACCGCAGGTGAACGAGTGGGGAATTGCGGTTGGCCAGCACGGGGCGGCAACGCCGCCCCCCGCCCTAGTAACAATTAACCCAAATAACAACCCTTTCTAGGTTAGATACGTGGCTGTTGACAATGAGGCAACAAATGGGGCTCTGGGGGCTGCTGGGCGCCCTATTGGTACTGGGGGTAGGGCAGGCGCGAGCCTACTACGTGACCGTGGACGCGCACGCCGAGGAGTGTTTCTTCGAGCATGTGGACGCTGGCACCAAGCTGGGTAAGGCAACGGCGCCCTAAACCGTCCCCGTTTCACGCCAGGCCGCCTAGGGCTGAGCTTCCAGATAGCCGAGGGCGGCTTCCTGGACATCGACGTGCGGATCGTGGGGCCCGACGCCAAAGTGATCTACGAGGAGGAGCGCCTGACGAGCGGCAAGTACTCGTTTGCCGCCCATACGGTCGGCACCTACAGCTTCTGCTTCTCGAACAAGATGTCCACGATGACCCCCAAGGTGGTGATGTTTGATGTGGCCGTGGGCGAGCCCCCCAAGCCGGCGGAGGGCGAGACGGCCAACAAGCTGGAGGATATGATTCGGGAGCTGACAGGTAAGCAGGCGCTTGGTGGGGACCGGTCGGGGCTGACATGGGGCTGTTGTAGCGTCGCTGACGGCCGTCAAGCAGGAGCAGGACTACATGCAGCTCAGGGACCGCATCCATCGCGCCATCAACGAGAGCACCAACAGCCGCGTCGCCATTTGGTCGGGCTTCGAGGCTGTGGTTCTAGTGGCCATGACCATGGGCCAGGTGTTCTACCTCAAGCGCTTCTTTGAGGTGCGCCGCGTCGTTTAGTGGCAGTTGGCTGTACGTTTATTGCCCATTACAGTTCTTTTGTATTAGCGGACGGTGTTTGCCTGGCGGCCATTCTCGAACGCAGCCCCAACCCCCGGGCGCAGCACGCTCGAACGCAGTTGGCGCTCCCGCAAAACCGGCGTTGCCACTCGCTTGCCGTTTTTCCCCAGCCTTCCACCCTCCTTTAACAGCGTTGTTTGGCGAATTTCAGGAAACTGATGCCGCCAATCCCCCCAGCTGGCAACAGTGGCCGCGACTCGAAGCTGTCACAGTGACTTTTTCCTGTTAGTGTAGTTTCCCCCGGAAAATCCTGCAAACTATTCAGGTGAGTGGCTTTTTCCTAAAATTTGCTTTGCCCCCGCTCGTGACGGGCAGCCGAACTGCCCTGGAAAGTTAGCCAGTCATTTGGGGCCAATTAGTTATTCAGATGGGCGATACGCGCGGCTAATTGCGGGTTTAACGCATTAAAACGTCCCCAACCGGTGTCGATGTTATCGCTAATAGTCGACCGGCGTTGGGTTAGTTAAGAAATGAGCGCCGGCCGGACTGTGGTGCTTGGCAGGGGATTTCCCCTCGAGCTGCGGCTGCTCAGCGCCCTGCTGCAGCGCAAGCGACTGGCGCGCGCGGTGGCCCTGGGCGCGCTGCTGCTGCACCTCGGCAGCCTACTGCACTCGCTGCAGGGCAAGTACTGGGTCTACAGCCGCGCCAGCCAGCTGCGCAACGACGTCGTGATCTTCATCAACACTGTCAGCGACCTGCTGCTGGTGAGCGTGAACGTGCTGGGGCTGCTGCCCCTGCTGGGCAGCCCCTTCCTGCTGGAGCTGCTGCGCTTCTGCACCGCCCCGCTGGAGGTGTTGGGGCCCTCGCGGGCCTGCTCCCCTTGGATCAATCTGCTGCGCTTCGGGCCGCTGCTCCCCATCGTGACCGGCGGCTGCTTGTTCTCCCGAAACGCTGGCTGGGCGTCCTACCAGTACTTCCTGGGGCGCCAGGTCTGGTACTACGTGATGAATCTGGTGGTGTGCGCCTTCATCTGCGCCGCGCTGCAGCTCAAGTGGCAGTTTACGCGCATCAACGACTTCCTAGGGCGGGGGGGCGGCGCGTCCGCCGCCCAGCTGCAGCTGGTCGCTGCGCGCTTCAACGGCCTCTGCAACCTGCTGGACGAGTTCAACCGCACGTTCAAGGCGCTGATGGTGCTGGTGGTGATGTGTGTCACTGGCAGCGTGCTGCACAACTGCACGTCCCTGATCGAGTACGCGGCGAAGCCCAAGGGGGCCGCCGTCAAACTGGCCACGTTCCTCACGCAGCCCCTCTTCGCCCTCACCACCGTGGTAAGTTCGAAAAGTTGGAAAGTTCGCGATAAGGATCGGGGAAAGTTGGGCGAACGGGAGTTGGCTGGCGCCATTAAAAGGCAGTTAGAATGTGGGAGCGCGTGCAGCTGGTCTGTCCGGCCTTCCCGGAGCTGCAGCTGTTCTTGCAGGCGCGCCACCACCATCGGCTGTTCAGGTGCGCCCAAGTGGCGCTGATTGTGGCGCACGTGGCGCTGTTCGGCTACGGCCAGCTGGGCAAGCCGCTCGTTTACGGGCGCTTCCTGCCGTTCGGGAACCACGTGGTGGCGTTCGCCGCCTTGATGAACGACCTGATGGTGCTGGCGCACCTGGTGTTCACCGTGCTGGCCACCACGAGCACCCGCGCGCTGGCCGACTTGATCGCCGCCGTGCTGCAGGAGCGCGCCACCAAAAGCCACTGCGCGTTCCATCTGTGTGTGGCGCTGCTGCGCCTGCTGCCGATTGCGCCCATCGGCTTCGGCGTCTGGCTCTACTGGGATCTCTACCCGTACTTGCTGCACCGCGACGTCTGCTACTACTCGCTCAACCTGACGATCTACAGCTGCGCGGGGCTGCTGCACAAGATCAACGGCTCCTTTGGCGCAGTCAACGACCAGCTGGAGCAGCTGGGCGCGCAGCTGGGGCGCCAGCACTGGCGCCTCATCCTCAACCGGCTGGCTCGGCTGCGCGCCTCCTTCAACGTGCTCTATCAGCTCCTGGACACCTTCAACAGCTACGTGAAGGCGCTGCTGGTCGTGGTGGTCACCTGCATCTCCATCAACATCCTGTTTAATCTCACCGTGATCACGCAGTTCGCAGTCAAGCCGGGCGACGCCTACTCGACCACACTGATCTATGTGATCCACGCGCTCTTCATCCTCATGTCGGTGGTGAGTGGGGGCGCAGCCCCCACGCGCAGCAGGCTCTAATGGGGCTGTTTCGGTTGCAGGGCCAGGCGGCCGTGGTGGCCTTCGTGGGCGAGGGGCTGGAGGAGGAGGGCGAGCGCACCACCCGCATCTGCTTCACGCTGCTCAACCAACTGGACCACGCCCAGGGCAAGAGCGAGCCGCTGGTGGCGCGCGAGCTGCGCTTCATCCTGGAACACAGTCGCGCCCGCAAGATCTGCCTGCACGCCGGCGGCTTTTTCCGCCTCAACTGGGGCATCCTGGGCTCGATCACCTCCACGGTGGCCACCTACTCCATAGTGATCATCCAGTTTCTACTCAAATAGCCTTTAATTCAACAAACACACTACTTTTTGTCCAGGCCGTACACGTAGCCGAGCACGATGGCCAGCACGGTGAAGCCCTGGGCGGCCACGCGCGTCCGCATCATGTACTGCGACATCTTGGATCGCCCGTTCCGGAAGCTCCAGATGCCGTAGCCCAGCGCCAGAGTCGTTGCTGCTGCACCTGCACAAATCAACCAGGGGGCACTAGTTAACCTACAAGGCCCCTCGTCTAAACCCACCTATGGGCACCATGGGGTTCTCAGCGCTCTTCCTGCACAGCTTCTGCAGCACCGTCTCCGTGCTGGCGACAGCGTCCATCTCCGTGCGCAATGAGATCCAGTCGAAGGCGGCCAGCTCTTCGGCCGTCAGCTCAGCGCTGGGGCCGCTGCGCATTTTGGGGCCGGCTCGCTGCTACGCACTAGTTTAAACTTGAAGACACCTTCAAGCATAGATAAAGACAGGTGCCGTCAAAGGCGCGATAACCTCACTTTGTGCCACTGGGCGCTGTTGCCCGACGCCCCTATCCCCATCTAGCTGAGTGTTTTTTGGATTATCCCCGATATTTGCGGGCCGCAGCGCCCTGCGCTGCCTTCAACTGTTCGCTGTTCGTTTTTCTATGAAATAAACCTTTGCTTCGCTTTAAACTATGGGGCTCGCAGCTGACGTCATTGGAGCTGGCGTGGCGGCGGCAACGCCGGCCGCCATTTTAGCGTTCTGTCTCCTGTCACTGCAGTTGACATCAACTGGGGCAAAACCTCAATCGTCTGCAGTGTTTGTGTGTGTTTCCAGCCCCAATTGTGCAAAAGCGCCCCTGTCGCTGATAAAGGTGAGCCCCGCTCGCGCCCCCGTCATTTGATTGGATCGCAATTGGTGTGCTTATCGCAGTTTTCCAGGCGTTTCAGTGATGTACAACGGCATAGGGCTGCAGACGCCGCGGGGCTCCGGCACGAATGGGCACGTGCAGCGCAACTGGGCGTCGGTGCGGCCCGCCGAAAAGGCGAAGCCCTACAAGACGGAGGAGGAGCTGGCCCTGTTGGACAAGGCGAGCACTCGGCCCCCCAACCAGGAGATCCTCGACCACGAGCGCAAGCGGAAGATCGAGCTCAAGTGCGCCGAGTTTGCCGACATCCTGGAAGAGCAAGGGTAACGTAGACAAGGGTTTGGGGCCCACCGGATGGTTCACGTCGGTCTGTTGGGCAGGTTCTCCGAGGAAATGGTGGCTGGCAAGGTGGACAACTACCGCAAGGTGCTGCTGGGGTCCGACGCGGTGATTGGCAAGCCGCTCGACCAATGGGGCCGCGTCAGGTGAGTCCCCTTTTCGGTGGTAGGAGGCTTGGGGATCGATGCGCCCGATGCTGCGCACTGCGCCACTCGGTCAGTGACAGTGCGTGCTCCATCCGGCGGCCATGTAGGCTCCCCAGGCCCCCCGAGCGAACAAAATCACATAAGTCTTCCATTAGTCTCTAAGGTCTTCCATTAGTTTTAAGTGCGTGTTAGTGGGTTAAGTGTGTGAGTGGGATGCGGCGCTTCCTGCAGACGCCGCGCCTGGCGGGCCCCAAGCGCCCCTATGTGGACGAGCGCGTGATATTCGAGCGGCTGTGGCGCGGCGCTTTAGGGCCGCGCCCCCCTCGCCGGCTGCAAACGTGCTGCTGTCACTGTCAGTGCGGCGCCCATCCGGCCGCAGCCTTTCTCAGGTAAATGCAGGAGTGCGGGCGCCGCCACTGCCCTGAGCGCGCCCATCGATCGGCGTCGGCGTCCTGCCGCCCCCTCGCCCAATCAATCACCCGCTTAAACGGCCAGTCGCTTAATGTTCCTGTTGTTGTTGTTGTTCCAGTGTCAGAGAGACGCACCAAGTGGCGGAGGCGCAGCAGGAGAAGAACGCCCGGCTGCGCGAGGCCTTTGGTATAAGCGAGTACTTCGTAGAGGGCAGCAGCTTCGATCCGGAGCGGCAGGCCAAGGAGAAGCTGGCGGCCAGCGCGGCGGCGGCGGAGCGCGAGCGGCAGCGCGCCCTTGAGAAAGCGGAGGCCGCTCGCTACCAGCTGGTGCGCACGCCCAGCCCCGAGAAGGAGCCGCTGCCCAAGCGGCCGGAGGCTGCGCCCGAGAACAAGCGCAAACCCAAGGACAGCAGGTGAGCGCAGCTGACATTTGTGTGTGACAGTGACGTAATGCTGCACATAACCTGATTTTGACGGGCGGTTTTGTTTGTTGCAGCCCATCCACTCCAGAGGGCGGGCGCAAAAAGAAGAAGAAGCGCAAGGCGGCCAAAAAGGACAAGTAAGTGAAAAGGGGCCGCTGTTTTCTCTCTCTCTCTCTCTCTTTGTCTCAGTCTATCCGTTTCACTCTAAACACACACATCTATATGCCTACGTATATAAATGTCGTCAAATAGTGTGTAAGTGTTGTTGGCCTCTCCATACTCAATCAAATGACTCAACTGTATTCCCTATACTAATTCATTGGTGGTGTATTTTTTGTGCGGAACGTCAATAATAGAGGGCAGTAACCAACAGCAGGTAATTATTCCGTTCAATTCCGTATCTATTCCCGTCTTGTTTTAATATGCCATGCTGTCCAGGCCCAGTTGCTCGGCCAGGATTGACGAAGGTTTGCAGGTTGTGTTTCCAAAGTGGGCGGGGATTGGTTGATTTGTGCGTTTGCTGTGGCTGCGGACCAATTGCCGCCCGCTTTGCGAAAAGGGGGGCGGGGCCTGCGCCGACGCTCCAGTTGGCCTGGATCCGTCAACTGGATCGTGCGGCCGGTTGTGTGTCGTGCCACTAGGAGCGATCGCGGCGCCGCCTGCCTGCCATAATCGCCACCCTTTCTTGTGTGTAGGTCCGTCAAGGCGTCGGCGCACAAAAAGAAGCGGAAACGGCGTCGGCGCGACCAGTCCACCGACGAATCGGACAGCGCCTCAGATGACGATGTTGATGATGATGATGATGATGTTGATGTTGATGATCATGGCGACAAGCGGCGCCCCAACAACCGGAAGCTGGTGAGGGTTTTTTTTTGAATTTTTTGAATTTTGGAAATTGTTTGGTGTCATTCACCGTCCAACCAACCGCGCCCATTTGGACGTTGGCGTCGTGTGATGTGTTTGACATGTGGTTGACAGCAGATGTCGGGGGCTAAAGGTTTCTGTGTGGCTTCCGTAGAAGAAGCGGCCGAAATCGAAGAAGAAGAAGAAGAA